GAGAGGCCCTGCACAGAGATCTCAACGAATTAGAGGATTGGGTAATCACCAACTATATGAAGTTTAACAAAGGAAAGCGCCAGATTCTGCACCTGGGATGGGGCAACCCTGGTCGCTGGAGCACAGCGCCGCGGAAAGGGACCTGGGGGTCCTGGACAATGGCCAGTTGAATATGAGTCAGCAGTGCCCTGGCAGCCAGGAGGGCCAACTGTGTCCTGGGGAGCATCAGGCAAAGCATCGCCAGCTGGTCAAGGGGGGGGATTGTCCCACTCTGCTCTGCACTGGTGTGGCCTCGAGGACTGTGTGCAATTTTGGTCACCGCAATATAAGAAAGACATTAAGCTGATGGAGAGTGTCCAAAGGAGGGCCACAGGGAGTGGCTGAAGTCATTTGGCCTGTTCAACCTGGAGAAGAGGAAACTGAGGGGAGACCTCATCGCAGTCGACAACATCCTCGCAAGGGAGGAGCAGGTACCAATCTCTTCACTCTCACGACCAGTAACAGGACTTGAGGAAACGGTGTGAAGCTGAGTTGGGGGAGGTTTTATGTTAGATATCAGGAACAGGTTTTTCACCCAGAGGGTGGCTGAGCACTGGAAGAGGCTCTGCAGGGAAGAGGTCATGGCACCAACCCTGACAGAGTTCAAGAAGCATTTGGACAATATTCTCAGGCACATGGTGTGACTCTTGGGGTGTCCAGTGCAGGGCCAGGAATTGAACTCAATGATCCTGAAGGGTCCATTCCAACTCAGCATATTCTATGATGAAGACCTATGGAATAACCTCACCCAAACAAAACTATTAACATACAAGACTTTTATGATTACAGGTATGTCTTACCTTAAATATATCTGTTTTGAAGCTATAAATTAAGGTACTTATGTGGTTGCAAGAATCTCAACAAGACTAAGATTAGGAACACGAATGACAATTCAAGAATTGCCAATTCAACAAACAACAATATGTTAACAGAAAAATAAATTTGCGTTACGATTTCACTCTAAACAACAGGCCTTGCTATGTTTCAAAGGGTTTTTTCTATTTTTACAAAAAGCACTTACAAAAATTGCTAGCTAGTAGACAATACTGCCTGAGAAGATAATGAAACTTTGTTTCATAGCATTACCCAGTGAATTAAAACCTATTGTTTTTAAATATAAGCTGCAATATTATGAGGCTCCTTTGGAGATACAACTACTACTGTATCAAATAATATTGACGATTCTACATAATAAAACATGAATTCAACACTGCTTTCATTGTATTACCATCATGGCAGTGTTGCAGCATTTCTGAAATTACACTTTTGTCCAAGTCACTATGTCAACAGACATGCCAGTCTGCTTAAAGCACCAAACAGCTAAAATGGAATGAAACAGCTCAACCAGCTAAGATACACTCAAATATAAATTCCAGTAATGTTTCACTTCACCTTTTGCTATTGTAATCAGAATTTTACTGTTTTTATTTCACAGATTAATATAATATAGTAAGCCGATCTTTGGGTTTAAACAAAATTTTGATTCCTTGCCTTTCAAGCTCTTATTACGCAAAGATGTAGGACATCAAGAGATGATTCGCAGTCTTGCCAAATATAATGAGATTTCTTCCTCAAAAGACATAAAGAAGTTGTTAAATATTATTGCCAACACAGTCTAAGAGTTGATCCTTCCATTATTTTTAACTGAAAGTCTGTTTTTTATCTCCCCCAATCACAAACCCCTTGAATTTTATACCAGTAAACTTTTAGAAATTAATTGTTGGGTTCTGGATTACATAAAAGCCCTCAAAGGTCAGAACACCGGCAACCCTTGTCATTCATATACCTCACGAAGCGCAGTACCTCCAGAAGATGGGGCAGGAAGCACAGGTGGGTGCCTTCAGGACCACTGTCCATAGCTGACAGTAGACACAAGGATAAAGGGTTGCCAGACGTTTGACTTTCCGAACATCTGCACAAGCCACTGCCACATACCAATCAAACCCCCTTCACTCAGCAGGTGAAATTTGGAGTCTGTTCTGAACCTGACTCCCAATTAACTACACAGCTTGGGCACACAGCTATAAACACACTAAGATTCGTGCAGGGTTAATCATGCCGGAGGTGAAGCAGCCTATACAGGCATAATGGGTTGCTGCCATGGAGGCAGCAAGGCAACTGAGCACCTTTCCTGCAGTTAATATACACATGTTAAACCCAATGAAAAAGGGTTATCCCTACCCAGACCAAACCAAGCGGAGACAAGCATCGCACTGCCTCTGTAAGCCAAAGAATACAGAAACCCTACTGTCTCGGACAGTATACTAGAAGTTGTTTTTACTACTTCTTTTTCTGGAAGACAATGACAATGTAGGTGTAAATGATTATACTTCATTTCACTTTGTATTTCAACTCTCAAGAAATAACCTGAGAATCATTGCCAGAGTACTTCTGACGATGTCTGCCTAGGTTCAACACCTTTGAAGAGATAGAATTACATTTGTCTCCTTCTTGAAAAAAACCCAAACAACAGTGCAGCAATGCAAACATTACTAAAGGTACAGAACAGAAAAAAAAAGCCATTACACAAAGTTTAAAAAGGAAATAAACAGAAGATAGACAAGTCACGCTGCCTTTGCAGACACTAATGAATTGTCTTCTCTAACAAAACAAATTAGAAACACTCCTATTATGCAAATTAATATTAAAGTTTATGGTTAGGGAAGCCAGGGATTTCCTACTGTATTCCTAATAGCTGGACAACTAAACTACTTCACTGTTTACTTTATGATGCCGCATTCATGATATGGCATAGCCTAAACATTTTCTTAAAACAAAATAAGCCTTAATGAGTTAACCACACGCATGCAGAGAAATCCTGCTACCTGCCAACAACCTCAGGCTCTGCATTTTTTAATAATGAAATAGTTACTCGTGTCATTACATAAATATTATTACATAATATCTCCTTTGTATGCAGAATTAGAGCTACAATAACATAGGTCCCACTATTTCAATACTCTATCTATTAATCCCATTCATCCATTTAATAATTTGGAGCTGTAGTTGCATCAGAGCACAACAGCTTTAATGTCTCACATTCCTGTGTGCCTAAACAGAGAACAGAGAGGTAATTCTGAGTTAAAAAACAAACAAAACAAAACAAGCCATCAAGAAATACAACAAAAAAGTCTGCTCTACTATAATAACTGAGTGAAGGGAGACACCTCTGCTGTGCCTTTTTATTACGTGCTTTTTGTCTTGCCTAACATTTAATGTATATACCAATGTACAATTTTCAACATACAAGTCAATAAAATATGCAGAAATTCCCGAATTCCCAAGGTCAGCATTACACAACAGTAAGTGTAAAGGGATCACAAGCAACAGTGCTTAATATGCCTAATATCTCAAACAACATGTTGGGGTTTTATTCCCCACTTAATATTTAACCTATGGGTAAACTACAATACATATCAAATTAATTTTCTTAAGTATTAAATGTTAGATTTTTTTTCTGAAAACGTTTTTGTATTGGTCAAAAACACATTTGAGACGTGGGACGACCCATAAGGCCACGGAGAAGAGGCAGCGAAGAAGCGGCATGTGACACTCGGGAGTCCCGGGGGGCAACATGTGGCCGGCGCTCAGGACGCCCCTTCCTGCAGTGCCGCACCGGTGCCCCCGGCCGTGCTCGATCTGCGCCGCCACACGAGCTCCACTTCCCAAGTGCCGCACAAGTCCCACTTGTGGCCGCGCTCAGTGGTTCCCCCTCGCCCGCTCGCTCTCCCGCGGTAACACCTCCCGGGCAGGGCAGGAGAGCGGCGTGCGGGCCCCGGGGGCGAGGGCGGCACCGACCGCCCCGGTGTTTGCACAGCTGCTCCGCTCTCCCGGGGCAGCCCCGCACAAAGCCCCGGCGGACCCGCAGCCCCCGCCGCCACCGGGCGGGCGCGGCGCGAAACCCGGGGCAGGTCCCCTCTGCTCCCAGTTCCCCCTGGCAGGTGAGACGCCGCAGCGGCGGCGGGCGCGGAGGGGGGGGGGCGCGACCCAGCCACAAAGAGCGGGAGCCGCCGCTGCCTCCGCCGCGGGGTGGGCGGCGGCGCGGCCAGCGCCGGCACGACCCGCGGCGCTGCAGCGGGGGGACGTCCCCACCCGTCGGTGGCGGCGGCGGGGGGGTCACCCCTTACCTGCAGGGGTGGCGCCGAAGACTCTCACGACAGGCACTCGCCTGGCCGGGGCCTCTCGGAAGCTGGACTGGCAGGGGTCCAGGCCGGGCAGCGGGCTGCCCATGTAGTAGTCGGCAGTCACGATCCGCACTGAGAACATGTTTGTTCGCCGCCGCCGAGGCACCGCCACAGCACCGAGCGAGCGAGCGCGGAGCGACAGCGGAGCCGGCACGGCCCCCCCCGCCCGCCGCCGCAGCCGCAGCGAACGCGCGCGCGCGCGCGCACCCCTCCGCGCCTGCCTCTCCTCGCCTGCCCGCCTGCCGGAGCGCGCGCGCGCGCGCACGCCCCGCGAGAGCGCGCACAGCCCCGCACGCGCCTTCTCTGTCCGTGCCTCTGCTCCCCCCACCCCCCCACCCGCCGCTTAGTGCCGCCGCTGCCGCTCCGGGCGCGTGCGCGGCGGCGCGCCCCGCGCGCGCTCCTACAGCCCGTGCAGCCGCGCGCGCCTCAGGGGCAGCGCGCGCTCGTCCCCCCCGGACGCCCCGGCGGCGGCGGCGCCCCGGCCCCGGGCGGCAGCTGCTGTTGCCATGATGATGTCGTCACGGACGCAACCATTGCGGGAACTCAATGGGGGGGCGGGGTGGATGGGCCGTGTGTTGTGGCGGGTGGCGCAACGAGCGAGGGAGGTGTTACTCACTCCCCGATACAGACATACGCCCCCCCTCCCCTAGTCTTTCGTGTGGGCTCGGCAGGCGGGGCGCGAGCGTGCGTGGGAGCAGGGGGGGAAATCTTTCCAATGCTACCCCCCCCTTCCCCCCGTGGCAGAATAGGGAGGGAGGGCGGACCTCGGTGATTCGGCGATCGGCCGCGCGGGCTGGGGGCGAGGCTGCGGAATCCCGAGCCGCGGATGGCGCGTCGGGGCGGGGGAGGCAGCGCTGCCGGGACACGACGGGGTTAAGCTGGGTCGGCCGCCATTTTGGATGGCGGGGAGGTGAGTCTCCGCACGCCGCAGGGGCCAACAACACACACACACACAAAGTCAACCTAAAAAATGGGGGGGGAGGAGAGAAACGCGATCACCTCCCGGGACGGCGGAGGGGGCGGGGGGGGTGGGGGTGGAACGGAGCAACAGCGCTCCCGCGGCCGCCCGCGCCCCCTCGGGCTGTGCCTGTCCCCGCGCGCGGCTCACGGGGGGCGGGGCCGGCGCCATGGAGGGGCCGTGGCGATTGG